CGCATCTCTTTCAGATGTAGCATCCTCAGTACGAGTGTGTGAATATGTCTATTTCAATTCAAACGCTTATTCATCATGGTCCTGCTTTGGTTCATTATTTATGCAATACTACTGGTCATGCATATATTCATGCAGCGAGGCATTAATATTCAAGGTTTGACCATTTAAAATGATTTTAGAGAACAATGGAAGACTAATTCATGTAAATTGTGATGCTGCTTACAAATAAAACAAACAGTGTAACTTGTTAAAGTGCTTAATCCTATTATAAATATGCACGAATTGGCTCATTTGCATTTAAAATGAGCAATCAGCGATGTTTAAAATAATTTAAGTGTTCTAATAAAACTGGATTAATGGAGACGGCTACAGTTTAGCGCCACACTGCCCTTTAGAGGTCATATCGTGTCACTGCAGGCACGTTTCCTATTCTATTGAAACGCTAGGGATATAATTGAGCTCCAGTTCATCTAAAACTAACGAGGCATTTGTGGACATGCAATTAGAATTAACTTAATGATTCATTCCAGCACTCACCGGCCATGAACCTGATGTAGGTACGTCGAAATAACACGTTAAATGCTTGACGATGTATTTTTGCTCATCATATTGGTGGTTAGTGGATGACGGAAGTTTCCGTGAATCAATTAAGTGTGTTCCCGAGACATATTGGCATATAAATATCTCAAATATTCAACGCTGGTCTGTCTTTGCACATCATTAAAATGATGGTTGCAGAATCGAACTGCATTTATGGCGCGAACGATGTGAGGAAGCCTGTTTCCCGCCTCAGAATGAAAAATAGAAACGGCAATTTCGAAATAATGTTTAAAGTAAGAAAAAGAGTCAAAATGTGAGGTATAAAGTCGCAGTTAAAAATAATAATAATGAGATATAAAGTCATATATTACTCTCTCCGAGGGTGCAACTTGCTATCCATATTTCCACAATCTCAAAAATCGAATTATTTTAATTTGGAAAGGGCGAGTCAGAACAAGAGAAAATGATGGCATGTTTGACAAAGACCTTTTACGTCTACAGTAAGTTCTCAACAATCAGTGAAGTCTTCTTAAAATGAACAAAATGCTAAATTAATTTAATTTAGGCATTAATGTGGATTTAATGGACGTACAAATAAAAATCAGAGGGCTGACTGTTTCGTAGTACCTGGTATGTGTCCATAAGTTGTCCCTGGACTCCATTTTGTATATGTTCTATTATGACATCATAAATTAGAATGCTGATATCTCTCAGAATGTGGTAGAATTCAAATGCCTGTTTCAAAATACTTTGCAGCAAAGGTGAGGAATGTGATCCAAGCTCGAGGCCAAGCCCAAAGTATTCATGCAGCTGTTGTAAACTCTTTTGAGATTTAAAACAATGTCTGTTAATAACGTTTTGAAAGGCATGGGCTACAAGTTCATAGCCGAGATTGGCGAAGGCAGTTTTTCCCAAGTCAAGCTCGCCACTTCACAGAAACACCACTGTGACGTGGCCATCAAAATTGTGGACCGCGTAAAGGCCCCTAAGGATTTCGTCCAGAAGTTTCTCCCAAGGGAACTGGCGATTTTGAGACGAGTGAATCACGAGCACATTGTGCAAATGCACGAGTTAATTGAGGTGGCTGGTAAACGACTTTGTATTGTGATGGAAGCTGCAGCAAAAGATCTCCTTCAAAAGATACATGAAGTGAAACGCATCCCAGAAGACCAAAGCAAAAACTTGTTCTCTCAGATGTTCAGTGCCATCAACTACCTCCACCAGATGGACATAATCCATCGGGACCTCAAGTGCGAAAACATACTGCTGACAGCCGAAGAACAAGTTAAGATCACAGACTTCGGTTTCGCCCGCTGTGTTCAAGACCCTTCAGAGCTCAGTCAGACCTTCTGTGGTTCTGCAGCCTACACTCCACCAGAAGTCATCATGGGAACGCCGTATGACCCAAAGAAGTATGATGTATGGAGCCTCGGGGTGATTCTATACGTCATGGTGACTGGATCGATGCCATATGATGATACCAACTTGAGGCGACTTCACCGTCTTCAACGCAAGTCTTTGGTTTTTTCGGACGATGCTGGTGTTCAGGAACCATGCCAAGTCTTCATCCGTACTCTACTCCAGTTCAATCCTTCCACACGTCCGACCGTTCAGCAGGTGGCAGAACATCCGTGGATGCAGAAGGGAAAAGGCTAAAGCACACAAGCTAATAAAACAAAGTGAGCAAATGCAAAGAAACAGTGTTACAAATCCATTCCGCTGGGAGAGTTTTTGGATAATAATAATAATTTTGTCCTAATATTTGAATTCCAGTCACGACTGAGGAAAATGATCAGTTTTGGGAGAACAGTCGGAGGCAGAATAGCAATAGATTAATGGAGAAACTATCAAATAAATTACTCAAAGTAGTGGTTGACCGATGTGGGTCTTTGATAATGGCCCATGATGATACAGCTATCTTCAGAGCAAGGTGGCCGAAGAGCACTAATACAATTTTATCTGCAGCAATTAAGATGTATACAAAATTGCTACTTATTTTGCTTTTTTATTTACTTCAATATTCATTCTTATATTGTATGCATATACTTAGTTACCAATTATAGTGTAATTTAATTCAATTTTTTATAGAAACTTAAAATACTAGCTATAACAATTTAAATGCTGAAAACAAAAAAAAAAAAATTCATTATTTTAATATTAATATTCCTTGGTTCTGTTAATAAAAATAAAAATGTAAACTTACAATGTGGGGACTTCAAGTGGGTCTCTTATTTTGCTTTTTTATTTACTTCAATATTCATTCCTATATTGTATGCATATACTTAGTTACCAATTATAGTGTAATTTAATTCAATTTTTTATAGAAACTTAAAATACTAGCTATAACAATTTAAATGCTGAAAACAAAAAAAAATTATTCATTATTTTAATATTAATATTCCTTGGTTCTGTTAATAAAAATAAAAATGTAAACTTACAATGTGGGGACTTCAAGTGGGTCAGGCAATACACGTTCTAAACCCGTAAGATATTTTTGAAAACTTTTTTCTTTATGACATGAAAGTAGATGACTTTCATGGTGTCCGTTTCATGGACCTTGTTGCTCATTATGCATTTGCATGGCCACAGATGCATGAATATTAAAAATGAATTTCAATCAGATTTGGAACATCATGAGAATATTGCGATTTTTATTTGGTTCCTTAAAAACCTATTTCTATACCCCTCACATCCTCATTTTCATTCATATCAAATTAACATGTTGTCCACCCTGAACAAAGGCCATTTCACCCTCCAAAAACTTGAAAGTTTATTAAATTCAAATTAGATCCCAGTTTGAAAAAATAAATAAAATTCACACTCAAAATACACCCACACACCAGACGAAACAGGTTAAAATTAGTTTTTATTATAATTATTAACTGATAGAGCAGAAACAGATGGAAAAAAAAAAGTTTTTTTGTTTTATTTTTTTTTACAATTCTTAAAAGAGATGCTCCACAATAAACGACGGCAGCATTTCAGAGGGAAATGGAATGGTGTTAGTTGTCAGCAGCAGGCAGTAGTCAGAACAGCAATCAAAAACGGGGGGCCTCTGTTCAAAATGCTCCACAGGCATTCAAGATCACTAAACGGATCATCTTGAGAAAAGGGAAAACAAATTGACTGAAGCAGAACTGACTCGATGCGTTCATGAACTGCGATGACAAAGGACCCAAGCTATCGTATATAACATACATTAATGTTTAGCTAAAATACCAAGCGTACTGCTAGCAAATCAAATCAGATTAAAGGAAAATAAGAGTAATGGTAAAAATAACATGACCACCACCTAACAGGTAGGACTCAGTTTAGCTAAGAGTGTGTGCTACATTCAATAAGCAGTAATGCTTTCAACCCAAACGTTTCCTTTAAGGAAAGATTAAGCCGTGACTTGAGCGGCACGACTTCCAACAGGATCTAAAATGGTAGACAAGACATGAATGAACTGCGCATTAGACAAAAAAAATTGCATTTAAACATCCTAAATACAGTCCAATTTTAAATTCACAAGGCTTTGAAACTATTTGGGAAGGAGCTAATGGGATATCCTTCATCTAAAGTGACATTTATAAATAACACAACATCCAAATATTACCTAGATGCTGTTACAAGAGAGCCTATGGGGGAGCACATCACAACGGTAACAAAAAGCGTAACATATCATGTGTTTCTGGAAAAAAAAGAAGCTACCGTCAGGCTCATCTGATAAACAAATCGCTCAAACATGAAGGTCTAGTAGTACTCCTGTTGCGACTGCTGCTTTTTGTTAGTTACGTCCATCTCTGTAACCATCCCTGATGCACAATTCTTGGATAAATGTCTTTTATAAGCTTACAAAGAAAAAAAGAAAACCCAAAGTATTCAAAAATACACACTACACCAGCAGATGTATAACCACCTCAACAGTATAATTCCTTAAACTTCTAGCCTTTAAAAAAGGCCATTTTGAAAAGGGTGGAATGAGTCCACAGTGAAGCTAAAAAACCAAAACAAGCAATGTATTGACATCAAATACACAAACATACTCTCCCATATCTGTTCAAGAAATGCTGTGGGTCGGAAAACGTAGCTAAAGCTGTGTAGCTGGTCCACAAAAAGGTCGTAAAACAATCCCTGGCATCACGCAGGAACTCTACGGTCCTGTGTCCTCCACTTCGTGTGGGAAAAAGTGTCCATGAGCCTCTAGAAACGTTAATGGAGCAATTAGTCCACCTGGAGGGCCGTGAATTGGGAGTTGTGGGTGATGTCTATTAGACAACTAAAGCCCATCGGGTAATGGAGAGATTCAGTAGATAGATACAAAGGCCTGTAGAAAAGGTCCTTGGTCTCCTTGATCACTGATCCCGGTACAGTTCTCCTCTAGGACACTTGTTGGCCTATGGGGTCTTACCTTAGACTGTACAACTAAGGGTCTTGGAACAAAGGAGAAATAGAGAGAAAATATAATAATTTTAAAATTTTTATTATTGCTTAACGGCTGGTTGTCTGATACTGATAACCCGACCGAATGTCCAAAAAGACAGGATTATAATTCTGAGAAATTTGAGTGATTTAATCAGGGCATTATTTCCATGTGTTTGCCGTTTGGGAAATGGAGCGGGAAGGGATCATGTCCAAGAGGTACTCTCGCTGACGGTCCACCGGAGATGTTGTCCTGTGCACAGACAGACTGGGGTTGACATAAGCCATGGTGACACCTGTCGGGGGAGAATTGCCGATTTTGAAAGAATGACCAAGTACATTTCTAAAAGATCTGAAGTGTTATTAGCCTACCCTACTTTTCAAGCTTTAAAAACAAGGGTTGACAATTTGATATTTCACCAACAATTACTAGCCTTATGGCAATAGTCATGACAATACATGGTGTTTTAAGAAAATAAATAATGCTGATTTTTTTTTTTTACAAATACCCATTTAAAAAAAAAAATCTGTTTACTATTTACTGTTTACAAAATCATGACAACAGGGTGGAAGATTTTAAGATTTTCTGCTTCTGACATGCCTAATCTTTTATCTTTATCTTTTATTACAGAAAATAAATATTTATCTATCTTTGATAAGTAGAAAGTATTGTCATATGACAGTTTTAAGTAATAGAATACTAACACATTTTAATCATTTATAATTGTTCACTTCTTACACATCTAAGAATGAAAGAAAAAGTGATTTTAAAAAAAGAGGAAATATTTACATGTCCATGAAGAGTTGACAAGATGATGTCATACCAGTTTTTGGTTAATTGACTTATATAGTATAGAATAGTATATAGCAGTGGTTCCTAACCCTGGTCCTGGAGGCATCCCAACACTGCACATTTTGCATGTCTCCTTTCTCTGACACACCAATTTCAGGTCTTGGAGTCTCTACTAATGTGCTGATGACCTGAATCAGGCGTGTTTGATTAAGGAGACATGCAAAATGTGCAGTGTTGGGGTGCCTCCAGGACCAGGGTTGGGAACCACTGGTATATAGTATAGAATTTTAATTAGTTTAATTCGTTTTTAATTTAGATATAATGGTAACAGGGTTGACAATTAGTGATAAAAAGAAAAGAGGCTTTAATTTGTTCATGAAGAGTGAAAAGGATGATCTCCTGTGATGGTTTTGATTAATTGAATAGTACTACATTTGAATAAATCAACAATTATGATGATAACAGGGTTGACAATTTAAGACTGACCACCTCTTAAATACCTATTGTAATGTATGATAGTAATGAGTATTGTAAAGATGTATTTGTATTTAATAAGAGATATTTACTTGTCCATGACAAGTTGTATGACTGGAATAGTACAGAATTTTAATAATCAATAGTGTAATTAGGTAACAGGGTTTGTAATTTAAGATGATGCCATTCTGATCCACCTAATAATATAAGATAAATTGATAAACAGCTTGTTCTTGTACTTGTTCAATAATAGTTGAAAGGATGATGACATATGACTGTTTTTGATTAATCAAATAGTATAGAATTTTGATATTCAACAGTTGTAATGATAACAGGGTTGACAACATAATTGTCAACATAAATTGTCGATTTCTTACGTACCTAAAATGGGATGCACCAAAATTCTGGGCCGAAAACCAAAACTGCTTTGTAATAATTATTTATTAATTTATTAAATAATATAAAGTAATTTCGTAAGACTTTTTAATTTAACTCAATTTTAATGATACTGAATTTTAAAAAAACAAAAGCCAATAAAATAACCACACATATATTGAAAGTAACAATACAATTAGACGGAAATATATTAATATTAAATATCAATATTCTTTTTTATTCAGTTCTATGCAACAGAATCAGATATAACTTTTTATTTGACTAATTATTCAAATAATGTGTAATCTTACAAAGCTATTAATATCAGAGCATGTGAGCAGAGCGTGGAGCAGATCAGTGAACTAGAAGGTAGCTCCATTTTACCAGCGCTGCCCAGTACAGCGCTATTGCAAACAGAAACAAATATACTACATAGAAATTTCCTGTAAGCGTGTTATTTTTTAAACAATTGCTTTTCCGGTGAGCATGAACGGAACATGAGCAGAATGTACAAACAGAGCGGAATGTTGAGCTGCTAGAAGGAGAGTGAAACCTGCGCGCTGAACACTGCTGGGCGATGCGGCGTGACATTTTCGCCCATTTTTCTCTTTCAGCCAAAAACCGAAAATGCCATTTTTGGCAGCTGAAATTTCGGTGCATCCCTAAATCAAGGGCATTTATTTATCATTGGATGGATGTAAATTGTTAAAATTGTGTACCATTCCATTCATAAATAAAAATCTCAGACAACCTGTGTTTAAAGAAATAAAACAAAAAAATATAGTGTAAACAAACTATTTTTTTCTCAATGTTCTGGAAAACTGGAAAACCCGGGGCTGGAACAGACCAAAACTCAGTCTCAACTAACTTTTAAAAATGAATTATACAGGGTTTTTGTTGATGTGTTTAGAAAAATGTGTAGCACATGTTAACAGGAGCACTTTTGCCTCATTTTTGCATGTTAGCCCTTTGCAGTCAATCAGCTCAATAAATACACAAAAAAAACATGTACAGATACAGGAAATGAAGAGACAGGAAAGGGGCAGACTTTCTTTTTTTTTTTGTTAAGTAGGCATCATCTACCTGCGGTGCCGCTGTTCTGTTTCCTCCAGGTATTGGTGGTGGGGTTTCTGCTGCTGGTGCCCTTTTCCCCTGCCCTCACGACATGCTTACCTGGCCTGCTGACCAGCGCGGCGGTCTTGACGGCGTTCTGGAGCTGGGAGGAAGTGGAAAAGCTGTGGCTCACCCTGCGTGCCCCCGCACTCACTGCCTGCTGTACGCTACGGGACAGCTGGCCTGGAGTCTGAGGAGAAAAACATGCTAAAGTCAGAAAACACCATGTTTGAAACAAAAGCAACCAAGACAGGAGTGTCCATTACCTGCTTGATGGTGGTGGCGTGGTATCGACCGACCGACGTGCCCCTGTTGGTCTGCTGAGTCAGCGACGTGCTCACCTGCTTATACTGTGGCGACACCAGCACGTGATCGGATTTAATCACCGGCGAGGATGAGGAGGAAGAAGATGAGGTGGTGGTGGTCTTGGAGACAGACGAGGCAGCCTGCTGCAGGATGCGCTGCTCGATCTCTTGCTCCTGCTGCAGGGCTTTGACGAAGGCGGCCTTCAGGCGGCTGGTGTGCTCAGCCTTCAGGGCCTTCTTCTGGTTGGAGCTCATGCACTGCTCACAGAGAATGGAGTCACAGCTCTTCTCCTGCCTCCAGCGAGAGGTGAAGTCCGTCTGGCACTGGGCGCAAGTGAAGGGCTCCTTGGGTGCCGGGGTAGATGCAGACTCTGTCTGCGGATGCTTACCTGGAAAGAAAGCAAGTGATATTAGCATGCTATAGTGTTAGATGTCGTAAATACACAATATTTGGGTGTACCCACTTTTAGCCAGTGTATCTAGCAGGTTCTGGACCACCGTTTCCAGCCCCACCAGGTAGATGAACTCATTATTCGCTGCCGAGGGCAGGAAATTGAGCTCTGGTGCTGGAGGTTTAGGTGGTGGTATCTCAAGGAGGGTTTTCTCCAGCTGTTTCCGTAACGCAAGCTTGGCGGCGGCCCGTCGGCTGGCAGGAGACTCATTGGCGCTGACAGAGGTGCTGCTGCCCAGACCAGACTGAGAGCTCTTCAAACCGGTGGAAGAGACCTGGACAAGGAAAAACATCATGTGAGTTCATAACAGCTTCTATTTATCAGTTTATCAAGACAAAGACAAATGTGATAATATGTAATATATCTTTCATATTACAAATTTTTTTTTTCTTAAATAAAACCTTTTGTTCATCGCCTACTTCGCAAACTATATTTAATTTTATGTTAATTATAAAAAAATGTATATTAAGTATGATATAGCAACTACAACTAATTATTTAAACACAATAGTAATGTTACTTACTACAAATATATTAAATATAAATATATACAAAAACGGTCATATACTTGCATATAAAAAAATACTACACCTATATAATATAAATTAATTATATAATAATAAAATATGCATAATACAGCTACTGTTCTTAGTTAACAAGCATGAGATAAATATTATGATGGTATATATGCTGATTAGGGCTGTCAAAAAAAAATTTGAATTTCGAATATTCATCAAATTTAAAATAAAAATTCATATTCGAATGCAAAAACGTTGCATTCGAATTTTAGATGAGCGTCAGGCAGCCTTATCAGTGGCGCACGAGATGCGATGACAATGTAAGTGTTGTTGCATTAAAATGTTTTTGTTAGCCTGTCCAGTTGAAGCCACTAGATGCGGCGCTGCTACGTTGTTCATTCAAAATATTGCAGAAAAAGAGAACATCAATGCGGGGAAGATGTTGTTTACACCAAAACTGAAACCAAGTCGTTCACACAGAACGCATATTTATCACATTTTTCTAGAGGGACATCTATCAGCATTGCACTCGCGTCTCGCACAAGAGAGCGGCATGTTTAGAAAGCCATGTAAAATGAATGTAAGTTCAACTTTTAAAAAAACATGTCTCAAGACTTTATGGCGGTTTTCCCCATCCCACTGTATCTCAAGTTTTTAAATGAAGAAAGTACTCTTTGTGATTGGTTTTTGGTCCTTTGTATTAAACTAAACATACATGCATGATGCTGTTTTGTTTCTAATTGTTTAAGCAACTTTATTAATTATATAAGGTTTATAAACATTATTTTAAACATTATGCACTTTTTTCAAAGATAGTCGTGTTATTTTATTATGCTTTGAAGAAACGTGCATAATATTTTGCTCGATGCGCCCTCTTGTGGCCTCAGGAGAGAAGTCAAAAGCTTTTTTCCCCCCTAACTGAAATTATGCCTTTTAAATTAGAATATTGATAATATTCAAGTAAAAAATTAGAATTTAGTTTTTCAGCCATTTTGACAGCCCTAAAACTGATAATGCTATAGTTCTTTTTTTTTAATCAACAGTTATGATGGTAACAGGGTTGAAAATTAGTGATAAAAAGAGGAGACAAATACTTGTCCATGAAGAGTTGAAAGGATGATGTCATATGATGGTTTTTGAGGAGTCAAATAGTATAGAATTTTAATAATCGATAGTTATGGCAATAGGGTTGACAATTTAAGATTGTCCAATTCACACCTCACACACCTAATAATATAAGATGGTGATTACAAATAAGTTACTAATACTATAAAACGACTTCAGTATTCTTAACAATAAAATTGGAAAACTAAAATAGCAAAAATTATTAAAAACTTGTTTATAGTGGTTAACATAAGTTAGTAGTTAGGTTTTTAATAATATAACATGTATAACAAGTTATAAAAAATTACAATAATGTATTTTAATATGCATTTGTTTATTTATAACTTTAAAAGATAAGTTATAGTAGCTTTAATTGTATAAATACATTATAAATAAAAACTGTATAATATAAAATATTTATACATAAAATGTTCTAAAACAGTTTTTTTAAACATTAAGCATTATAAATACTTTTACTGCATCAACTAATATTATTGCGATAACCATTGTTTACATCTAAAAACATAACATGGTATATAACAAGCAAATGACAGTGACCTGTGAGACCAGAACGTTTGCATTGGCTACATTGGCCACACGGATCAGGCCCTGCTGAATGATCCTCTGGCCCTGCACCTGTACGGAGGTGCGCGCGCCCAGCAGCAGAGGAGGGGGACCAGTCCCCGAGTGTTGTTGCTGCTGCCGTAGGGTCGCAATCTGCTGCGGGGTCACAGTGATGGGCTGTAACACACAAACATCAGAGAAAAAAAGAATTTGTATAAAAAGTAAAATTATTTTAGCGGTAATCAAGCCACAGCAGTACATACCTGGGAGCCTCTGACTAAGGGTGGCATGACTACGGTATTATGGGAGCCGTGCTTGGAGACCTGCGCTCCACCTCGAACCAGAGGAGGAGGAATGACTGTCCCTGAGTTTCGGTTGGAGACCTGAAAACAAAACATGTATTTAAGTTTTAATAGCTCTTCACAGTTCAGCTTTTAGAAACACGTTGAGACCATTGCAGGAACATGCAATGGACAGAACGGCACGGCCCCCGAATAATATATATAGTTTTTTTATTCATTTCTGATTTTTTTATTTGATTATACTACCAAGGGTTTTCACACATAACTATATTAAAAATGGCTATTATATTCTTTATTATTTTATCTCATAGTAGTAACAGTTGCAGTAGTAATAATAATAATAATAATAATAATTAAAAAACACTACAGGATTTTATAATGTAATATTTTACTAAAAGGTTGTATACAACATTTAATTAGATTAAAATTGCTAACAATTTTGTTATTTTATAATAATAATAATAGTATATATTTTAAATTAGTTTATCACACAAAACTGGATTAAAAATGCAAAATATTTTCGTTTATCTATCTATCTATCTATCTATTAACAAAAATAATACAAATCATTATTTTAATCATCATTTTCTGTTTATTATTAACATATTTTTCTAATAATAATTATATAGTGTTTAGAGATATTCATTATCTCTAATATTGACATTGACATAATATTGACTACTGGACATGTTGATTTGAACATGCACCATCGTGAGGTCATGTGCATTGTAGTGTACTACTGTTTGAAATGTTTAGCATAGTTTGACACATTTACACTGACCTGTAGGGGTCCTTTAGTGGACGAGATGCTGCCCCTGACGAGAAAATAAAACAAATCATTATTTTAATCATCATTTTCTGTTTATTATTAACATATTTTTCTAATAATAATTATATAGTGTTTAGAGATATTCATGATCTCTAATATTGACATTGACATAATATTGACTACTGGACATGTTGATTTGAACATGCACCATAGTGAGGTCATGTGCATTGTAGTGTACTACTGTTTGAAATGTTTAGCATAGTTTGACACATTTACACTGACCTGTAGGGGTCCTTTAGTGGACGAGATGCTGCCCCTGACGAGAGGTGGCGGAGCAGCCACAGAATTGGTTGACTGCAAAACAGAAGAGGTCAGTGCCAGGTCAGATTGAACTTCAAGCATCTTTATTGTATCCCGACTGTTACGTTTTTTACCTTTTGCACAACATCTTTTTGGGTCTGACTCTGTCGGAGTTTCTTCAGCAGGACGAGTTTGGCCTCCTGTAGACGCAGTTCTTCCTGCAGCTGTTTGATGATGCGCTCACGTTCAGCCGGGCTGCTCTTCTGCACATGACATGGACAAAATAAAAAGTCACGTTAGTAAGTGAACAGGAGATCCGATGCATTGTTATATCAAGTGCAAATGATCTGTAGATCTAATGTCCTGAGAAATCACATTACCATAAGCATCTCAGTATCCGTCTTCTTAAAACTGTAGCTGACCCCATTCATACACGGACTAGAGGGCTCATTGTCCGACAGAACAATGACATCATCTGGCGTTGGAGGTCTCTCTTTCTTTATGTCACTGAGAGACAGATAGAAGAAAACATGAGCAATGGCTAAACACACATTAAGATACATGGTCTCTTTAAATGCTGGAATATTTAGAATTGCATATTGCTCCTATTACTTCTGCAGTATATAGTATGTACAGTATGGGAATTATTCCGTATGAGTGAAATACCCGGATAACCAAATAGGTAGGTCATTTGAGAAATTACAAAAATGTAAAGTATAGGGGTGTGCGATATGACCAAAATGAGTAATTTTTTTCCATCAGAATCAGAATCAGAATGAGCTTTATTGCCAGGTATGTTTACACATACGAGGAATTTGTTTTCGTGACAGAAGCTCCACAGTGTAACAGAATGACAGTGACAGAACAAAAATGAAATTACAAAAATGTAAAGTATAGGGGTGTGCGATATGACCAAAATGAGTAATTTTTTTCCATCAGAATCAGAATGAGCTTTATTGCCAGGTATGTTTACACATACGAGGAATTTGTTTTCGTGACAGAAGCTCCACAGTGTAACAGAATGACAGTGACAGAACAAAAACACAGATAATAAAAAATAGAAAAATAGAACAAGTAACTAAGGAATAAAAATATACAAATCGACAATTGTATGTACAGGTATATAACAATAGACAGTTGTATGTACAGGTATATTATGTGCAAATTGAAATGTAGACTGAGTGTGTGTGTTAGATAAATAAATGTATTAGTGAATAAATAGTGTGTGTTCCACAGTTATTGTCAAGTGTTCATGAGATGGATGCCTGAGGGAAGAAACTGTTCCTGTGTCTGGTCGTTCTGGTGCTCAGAGCTCTGTAGCGTCGACCAGATGGCAACAGTTCAAAGAGGGAGTGTGCTGGATGTGAGGGGTCCAGAGTGATTCTGCCAGCCCTTTTGCTCACTCTGGACGAGTACAGTTCTTGGAGAGAAGGGAGGGTTGTACCAATGATTCGCTCAGCAGTCCGGACTACCCTCTGTAGTCTTCTGAGGTCAGATTTGGTAGCTGAGCTGAACCAGACAGTTATTGAAGTGCATGGTAACAATATATATCACTGTATAGTTATTTTTGCTTTAAATAAGGTTTTGATACCATAGAAATTTCATAATTCTTGGCCCCCCGATATTAATATCACAAAAAAACTAATGCTAGCATAAATAAAAAACAAACAAAAGACAAAGAAACAAGCTCAAAGACGACAAGCAAACAGTCAGCGATAAAAAAAAGAATAAGAAAATAATTACAAGCAATATAATTTAAAAAAGCTAATAAATTAGAAATGCTACATACATTGTAAGTAATTAAATGTATAAAAACACTGCATATTCTTTACTATGTAAACTAAATATATAGGCTATTTCTTATTAAAAATACAAAAGCGATTTAGTCAAGAGCAGTGAGATTTTCTCTTTTGTTGTTTGATTAACATGACTGACAGACAGCAGGAATATTAGACTGCTGTCACTTTAAGAGCCGATCTGATCCAATATACTGCTACACGTGTGTTTTCTTTCTCAGCTGTTTGCTTTCACGCAAGACCTAAATTACTGTGTTTGAGGATACTTGCAAAGATTGGCATTTTGACATACAAGTGTGTGTATTTTCAAGGCCTATAAAAATAACTTTGCTCAAAACTCCTGCGCTCTGTGGGCACCGTCGTCACGTGTCTTCAACAGTCCCTCAGACAGCGCGTGCATATAGCGAAATGAATTCTTTTTCACTGCAATGCTTAAAAATGCATGCAAACGATAACTTTTCATGACCACCTAGCACAGCAACGTAAGCGAGTAACAGTGTAAATTTTAACACTCTTGACTTATTTGATCATACTACCAAGGGGTTTCACAAAAAAAAACTATTACAAATGCCATAATTTTTTTATATAATAATAATTCTATTATTACAGCACTAGATCATATTATATTTTATATATATATATATATGCATATATAAAAATTGTTTTTATATTTTTTGATTATCATCATAATTTTTTTTAATTCATTATTTTTATTTAATTTTCCAAGACATGTACAGGACACAACATGATTTAAACATGCAAAAATGTTTTGTACTGATTGAAATGTTTAGCGCTAGGGCTAAATGTTTAACTATTACAATAGCATATACTTATATAATTTACATGTACAAAAAAAAAAAGAAAAAAAAAAAAGCATGCAGTTTAGCCCATTGCTCTTCACCTAATGCTGCATTTTCTGCACTGCCCACTGGAGGTCATCCTAAGACCGCTGATTGCACATTTTGTACTCAAACACTTAAAGGAGTTGCTCTTCAAGGAACTGCCACAAGTAGTATCAGGTCTCATAACATTAAAACTCAACAATATTATGGTCAGATTAGACACATAAGCGCCTCCAAATGCAAATCAGCCCTATCAAGAGAAATATGCAAGCAGTGTGGCGTTGATGTCTCTTAAGGACAGTAGTGCTGTACCCAGATGGGTCTACGGCCCCTCTTGAGAGACGGACGAGGAGGGGGATGGGATGGCTAGCGGCCAGGCTATTGTGTGTACTCGGTCCTCAACTTTCACTGCAAACGGGTCGCTTGCATATCAACAAAGACACCCGCTTTCATGCTCCTACTCTGGTGGGTTCACGAGGGGAGTGTCAGAGAGGGCTACTGGGAAATCTGCTAGAGGCCTTTTGCTGCTTATAGGATAAGGGTCACATACTAAACGCAATATTGCAATAACACTTGTCAATCGTGAAATTAGCTTCTTGGGAGCAACTGTAGCAGCTACATCTTTTAAGACAATGCAAGTCATGTTTGCCCGCTGAGTCGACACAAAATACTTGTTAATGTGTTGCTATGGTGTTCTAGGTTGTTTTTAGGGCATTGCCAGGTGGTTTCTAGGGTTTTCTAAGTGGATAAATATGGTCCAAGTCTAAAGAGTTTTGTCCGAAGTCACTCTGGTCCACAGATATGGCTAAAATTCTTACAATACAATTTTTTGTACATTTTATCACCCACCAAGTTAAAAATGGTAATTCAGCTTTCCTCAAGAAGTAAAACTGGTGTAAAGTCTAAAGAGTTTATTCCCAAGTCAATAGTATTTATAATTTAAATCACGCTCTAAGTAGAGATAATTTAAATACCAGTACACGATTAACCGGTAGAGATTTTGGACTATGGTCTCTTTCGCGGTTACACGTTCACATGACGTTGCTGTGCTACATGGACACAAAAACATAGCCCATCATTTGCACAGGTTTTTAATCATTGTGGTTTAAAAACAAGTTATTTTACGCCATTGAAATGCAATCAGCAGCGAAAGAGAACTCATTTCGCTATATGCACGCTGTTTCTGAGAGGCACGTGCACGTTAAGACGGTGCTCATAGAGCGTGGAAGTACTGAACTGAGTTATTTCTGATGCTTTATAGGCCTTGAACGGTTAAATACACAAACTTGTATGCATCAAAATTCCCATCTTTGCAAGTATCCTCAAACACAGTATATTGGATCCGGCAGCTCTTAAAGTGACAGCGGTCTAATATTCCTGCTGTCTGTCGATCATGTTAAATTTCTCACTGCTTTTGACTACATCACTTTTGTAACTTATAACTTTTTAATTTACACAGTGAAGAATATACAGTGATTTTATACATTAGATTATACAATGTAGCGTTTCATATATATTTGTTCTACTGTAGGTTTTTTTTGTCTTAATGATTGTAATTAGTTTCTTATTCTTATTTAATCACTGACTGTTTGTTTACTTGTCTTCAGTTAGCTTTAGTTTTTTTTTTATTTAGGCTAATATTAGTTTTTGTGATATTGACACTGGTGACAAGAATTATGAAATGTATATGGTATCAAAAATTTTATATCATAAAGACTTTATTTAAACAGGGCTCTAGAGTTTGTAAAATTTTTAAATTGTCATTTGTGACAATTTTTTGAGAAATTTGACCTGGTCGCATTTGTGCGAGACTTGACATCTGCGTCAAAGCGTCAGCTCCATACAGCGGCACATTTAGCAGGAGTCAGATTTCACTGATCACGTGAATAGAGGTGCTTTCAGTGTGAGCGCTTCGGGAGTAGAGCCTGGTTTATACTCGCTGCATCAGCACAAGTGCGAAGGTGCACGCAGCAAAAATGACGCAAATATTGAGGAAACGATGGTAGATGGAGGATTTGGTTTTTAAAGGGGTCATATGATGCAATTTAAATTTTTCCTTTC